CTCTGTTTCCCTCTCCCTCTTTCTTTCTCTCCCTTTCTCTCCCTCCTTTTAGCCATACAATTTTGGATGGGGTGGGAGTAGGAACGGATTTCCGGGGGGGGGGGGGGAATTGCAACTACAGGAACCTGGAGCACCACTGATCTGAGAACACAGATAAACCTCCAAGCCCAGTTGCCACTTGAAAAAAGCCCCTTTGGGACAATCAGGACCTGGATGACTGAGAATCTCCAGGCATTTAAAGCAGGGGTTACAAAAGCAGAATATTGGCCATTCCAGAAGGCCTTGACTAATTTTACAAGGAAAGTGATTGTTTTGCAGGCAGGATGCAGTGGGCCAGTCCAGAACAAAATTGCCGCCAGTTCAGTGGGAAAACCTGATAAAACAGCTGCTGAAGAAGCAGAGAAAATACCCCATTAAATAATTCCTACAAGCTCTCAAGATTCTTGCTACCATACAGTTAAAAAAAAAAAAATCAGGGATACTTGATTTTGGATTAGATGACATAACACAGAATTTGTCGCAGACGCCTGAAGAACGTAAGCAGGAGACAAACGAAGCCTCCGTGGCAAACGGACAGAAGTTGAAAGGCCAACTTACCCTTCTTGATTGTGTTGATCTCCAGAGGCTTCAGCCCAAGTTTAGCTCGAAGTTTACTATTGAGAAAGAGAGGGAAAAAGCAACAAAAGGCATGTAATTTTGTGCACCGGTTGTTGGACCAGAAAACAGAATCTCTGCAGGGTCCCTGGTGCTCCCCGGTTTCTTGAAAATGTTTCATTTCCCGACAAGGTAACACCATCAGTTAAGAGGTGGCTTTTCCTCTCTGAAAATCAAACAGTAACTGATGGAACGTAGGATCCTAGGGCTGGGAGGGACCTCAGAGGCCCTCTAGTCCAACCCCCTGCTCAAAGCACGAGACTTATGGCAACACAATCAAATGGTTGTCCAATCTTTTCTTGAAAGCCTCCAAGATCAGTGTTTCTCACCCTTGGCTACTTGAAGATGTCTGGACTTCAACTCCCAGAATTCCCCAGCCAGCATTTTCTGGCTGGGGAATTCTGGGAGTTGAAGTCCNTGTGGACTTCAACTCCCAGAATCCCCTAGCCAGTGTCCACAAGCATTGCTGACTGGGGAATTTTGGGGGTTGATGCCCACAAGTCTTACAGTTGGGAGACTCTGCCTTGCCATAGAAGAGGGGTTCCCAACCTTTTCTACACCCCCAGAACGCTTCTGATATATTATCGCACCGCTTACAAAAGTAAATACCGGGTATGAATTATGCATATACATTATAATTTTGAAATTTCAAAATTGCACCCCCCCTTGGATATTATCTTGTACCCCTGGTTGGTCACCCCTGCAGAAGAATCATAGAATCCCAGGGCTGGAAGGGACCTTGGAGGTCTTCTAATCCAGTGTTTCTCAACCTTGGCAACTTGAAGTCCTGTGGACTTCAAGTTGTCAAGGTTGAGAAACACTGTTCTAATCCAACTCAATGCAGCCCAACCTTTCCTTGAAAACCCCCCAGGGCTTCAAAAGGCCCCCCCAGCACTGACCCTCTTCTCCGCCATCTCTTTCTCCAACTGCAGCTTCCGGCTTCTCTCAATCCAGGCCGCCGTGTCGTCCAGCCAGGGGTCATCTTCACCCAGGGATTTGACTTTCCTAAAGACACAAAAATACCAGCCGCTTACGGGAAGCTCTCGTCCCAGCCCTGAGATGACCAGGGAAGGCGGAATTTACGAAAGCAGATCCAGCTAAGAAACATATATAGTTAGGCCAAACACAGGCAGTCCTCGACTTACAACAGTTTGTTTAATGACCGTTCCAAGTTCCAAAAGAGGGGCTTACGACTGCTGAGGTCACAGGATCAAAAGTCAGACGCTTGGCGACTAACTCATCTTTACGACGGTGTCCTGGGCTCAGCCGATCCCCTCTTGCCGCCTTCTGACCAGGAGAGTCAATGAGGAAGCCACTTAACAACCGTGTGATTAAGTTAACAACGGCAGCGATTCACTTAACAGCTGGGGCAAGCAAGGTCGCTAAATGGGCAAAGCCCGCTTCACTAAGGCCCCGCTTACAACATAACCTGTGGGCTCAATTGTGGCCGTGAAGTCGAGGACTGCATGTCAATTAGAAGCAGTTTTCAAACAGCGAAGAATCAAAAGGGCTACCCGAGTTTCTGGTTTAAAAGCCGCTTCTCCTTGGCGGCTGCTAGCTTCTCCCGGATCTCCTCCCGCTGCCTGAGCGCGATGGGGTTGATGACCTCCGCAGCCACTGGGTCCTCCTTGCTTCCGGTCTCTGCAGGGGGAGGAGGAGACAATAGGGAGACCAGGTAAAATGAGCTTTACTGCCTAAAACTGTGTTTCTCAACCTTGGCGACTTTAAATCCTGTGGACTTCAACTCCCAGAATCCCCCAGCCAGCAAAGCTGGCTGGGGGATTCTGGGAGTTGAAGTCCACAGGATTTAAAGTCGCCAAGGTTGAGAAACACTGGGTTAGAGGTATTCATCTTACTTGACACCAAATGTATCAAGATAATTGAGGTATTACAAAATATTGAAATACAACACTAGTTATTTTTATCACTGGTAAAATAAATACCTGGTAGAGTCTGAGTTTACTGACTAGGACAACCATCATTAGAAAAAAGGATGAGTTCCAGATCAAATCCTATAGGCGTAAGCTTTGCTAATATCTTATTTGCAAAATACGTTGCATATTTATTTATTTCGCTAGGCATTCAGAAAAACAAAGCAACGTTATACGTGTTCATTAGTGCAGCAAGACTACTCTTGATTAATATAGTTTATTAGAGGTCAACTATGATGATGTAAAATCTCATTGATTTAATTTGTAAATTTACTCTAGGTTTGCTAATTTGCTCGGTTTTGAAGACGATGCTCTCTTATTTAAATAATCCTTTACTGATTTGCAGAATCATGCTATATTAGTTCATTCATGACAGTTGATTCCTATAATTTTTTCTGTAATGGTTCAAGGTTTTTATTTAGAGCTATTATACAGTTTTGAAAATGAAATCTGAATTAGAAATAAGCTTCTTGCCTAAGCATAAAACCAGAGTCTTTTAAAGCTACTTTAATTATATAGTATTTCTATTCTATACCATTTATTGATTTGTTGAGGGTGAAAGTA